AAGAGCGGTCCTTGAGCGTATTGGAAATATTCAAAATTTCGAGGAAAAAAGGACAAGCTTTGAGCTTTGAATTGAAAACCCAAAGATTTGGTCGGAGGTGTCAATTTAGTTTCAGATCAACACAAGGACGAAACTTCATGGTAACAGACGAATATTATTCGAAAAAACTTTATAAAAAAATATTATTCGAAAAAAAAAAACTCTTAATTTATGCGAAAAATCAATATGATAAAAACGTTTTTTCTCTTTTTTTTTTCCTGTCAAGAGTGATATGATTGGGCCACGTCTGTCTCAGTTCTTCTTGTTCGGACAGATCAGATGAGTGGGGCCCATGATAAGATCGCTCTAATCACGGAGTCAACACATGGCGGGTGTTTTAGGTGGGTCCCATCTAAATTTATTGATTTTTATTTCTTTTTTTTCTTTTATGTATAATTCGTCTGATCATATGATATCATATCCTTTTTTTCTCCAACGAGAAGGTGTTTTTTTTCCGGTGATTTAGCGTCACCATGACGACATCCCTTACGTCAAAAAAAAGGGGCCTCATTTGTTTTAGTTTAAAATGTATAAAAAAAAATCTAAAACGGCATTATTTATGGAAAATTGTATTAATATTTGGAAGAAAAAAATATTTTGTTGTAATCTATCAGAATTCGTGCTGGTATATGTGAGAACTGACGAGGCCTTATTTTCATATTGGTAAATAAAATATATAAAATTTAATTTGACTTAAACAAATATTATGCGAATTTATAAATCCCACAATCTAAAAGGGGTATTATAAAAAATACTCTTACTTTTGTTATTTCTACTTCAATACCTACCCTTGTGACCATGTGATCAATGTGATCGAAATATAGTGTGGTCATATATTGATCCCATTGTTCATAACATTAAATTTATGATGTTTTAATCAAATGATTAGTAAGATATACAAGATATGAACATAATGAATTAGTGTGACCACCATAAATTTAACGTTATACTCGATAAAATCAAAAAGTCACATAGTCACAATGGTAAGTCTTGAAGTAGAAATAGCAAATTAAGGGTATTTTTGATATAATGTGTGATTAACTATTTAGCCTTCACCAAAACATGACTTTGAGATGTCATTTAGTAAGGCATTTATTATACACGACTCAATAATGCAAACGCACAATAATTAATAAGAGAAATATACAAACTTATTATAAAAAAAAAACCATCGATAAATATACAAACTTTAAATTTTTTAAATAAAAACATAAACTCTTTTTATTCTCTATATTAAACCCTTGAACTTTTTAAAAGCAATAAAAGCAAACCATAAACTTTTAAAATATTCTTCAAAATCCCTATCAAATTAAACCCTAAATTTTTAAACGATTACCAAGTATCACTATGATATGACATTTTTAAAAAATAAAAATAAATTTTAGGTTTTCATATTGATGTTAAGAAGAGTTATTGTATTTTTTTGGAAATTTTAAAATTAAGAAGAATTCTTGTAAGAATAGTTTCCGTGATTTTTTTTACAAATGTGTATAGTAATATGTGATTTTCCCTAATTAATTAATTAATATACAGGTTCAAGGATCGAATCACTAATTATAAGCACATGTTGCAATTACCTTATAACCATATCGATTATCATCTGATTTGATCATGTTAGTAGTTCATCCTAAATCTAATTAACATCAAATAAAATCCAATCTTTAAAAGTAAACTCCCATGCTTAATTGTTAGGATTGTAAAATCTTTTTAACCACGACAAGATATATATATATATATATAGGATAATAAAAATATTCACAAATCTGATTGATGAAAGAATGTTTTGGTTTTGGGACCTCCTCACGAGCAAATCCAAGGAACACAACACAAAGGAAGAGCAAACATTATAAACCGTTTAAGAGGTGCAACAACAGAACCACTTATGTTGTGTCCCCTTGTTCTTCTCTGTCCCCATCTCTCCATGTATTATCTCTAACTCCATGCTGAAATCAAAGATCAACAAGAAGAAGAAGATCAGAGCTGAAGCGGCGGAGAGAGTGCTGAAATAGCGGAGAAAGAAGATCAAGAACAAGAACAGAGCTGAAGCAGTGGAGAAAGAAGAACAAGAACAAGAACTGGAAGGTTAAAACAGAACAGGGTCGCGGTTTTCACCTGGAATAGCAGCAGCTGCAACAAGAGAAGCAGCCATTACATGAACGCTTTGAGCATCTGCAACAAGAGAAGCAGGAGAGACATCTCTTTGTCCTTGTCTTGTTTTTCTTCTTAGTTCTGCATCTTTTTCTTTCAGTAAGAAAACCAGCTCATAAAGAAACACCGAAATCGCTCGGTTATATATTCAGATGCGTGTGCGTGTGTGTGTATATATATATAAGTCATACTTACACTGGGGAGGAAAAATACTGCAAACTGGTTAAAGTTTGATCTGAGATATTGGAATGGCTGAGGGTTTGATCTGAATGATCGAATTCACTGAGATCCCTCCACGATAGAATTGGCATCGACGTCTTCTCTTCAGAATCCGTTTCCCTTTGCTCCTCCTCTGTTTCCGAGGTCTTCCCCTCCGAATCCTCGGGATGAATAGGGAGAGACGGGCAATACTCTAAAAGCTCACCCGACTTTGCTAGACTGACGTCGAAATCCCGTGCTAGACTGTTACCACCTACGCTGAGACTGAACAAAGATTCATTGGAAGCTTCACTCCAATCCAAAGATCCAATCTTTTCGAAAACCAAAGATGGTATTCTCTGCTCTGGATCATAATATCCTTCCCTTTCCATCACTTGAACTGGCGGTGACCGAGTAGGCGACAACGGTGACCCGTTGGTCGCACCAGACAGCCGAGATCTGGGCGTGTTGTTATTATCCGGTGACCCATGTAACGCAACATTGGAAAGGTTCCTCCTTTTCTCCTGGTTATCCTCGTAAGATGTCTGGTTTTCCTCTTCTGTTCTTGCTCTCAGCTCTATCATGTCATCCGATAATATCGAAGACAGTGAAGTGGATGATGTTGTTGATTCCTCCGCCATGGAGGTTTCAGTCCCGGCAATGGCGGCTGCTTCTGTATTATAAACCTCGTAACAGGCAATGCTCCCAATCTGGAACAAAACCATCCTTCCATTCCCTTCTCTGTTTGTTGATTCTGCATCATCAGCAGTATCGTTTCCTTTTGGATGATGGTTTGAACGGTTGGAATTCCTTCTTCCTTTGCTTCTGCTTGTACCATGACTTGGTTTCTTCTTCGTTTGATTTGGTTCCATACCTAGAAAAAGATCAAGAAAAATCAAAACTTTTACAGATTTATGTAATCTTTGACAGAAAATAACCGAAGCTATCTGAGCAAAAGCATGAAAAATAAAAAGCTTACTTATGCCGAGGAATATCCATGAAATTCCCTGATGAACCCTAGCTCTTGGAGCCCCTTACTTTACCGGCAAAGCAATGGCAAATCCACCACAATCGATGAATTTCCATGTAATAACCCTCCTGATTCTTCTCTGTCTATGGACAAAAAGGAAACAAGAAAAATTTTCCTTGATTCCAGGAGGAAGAAATGGCAGAAGATTCGCAGAAAAGCATACGAACAATTCGATCTTAACAGAGAGATCAATCTATGGATATCGGAAATTTGCAGAAAAACATAAATATTGACCGTTGGATCTTCTGAAGACCAAACCAGAAAAAAACAAAGGACTTAATCTTTTGAAAGAAGCCCCAAGAGAATGGGAAGATTACAGTTTCGTTGTGTTTTTTTTTTTCAGATTTTTTTGACCGAAGGTGCTCCCACTATTTCGGGATCGGCTCTTGACCAACAATGGCTACTTCTCCCGCCATTCTGCAACACATTGCCCCTATAAATAGATTCAAATCTTGGCTTTTGTCCTGAAGCTTATCCACTCGCTCAGACCAGCCCTGTCCTGGAAAGCAACAATGGCTGGCTTCCATTTTCCTTAAAGCGTCCTCTTTTTCAGCTTTTCTCCATGGACGCTTGCTTGTACCTCCACTCATCCACGGATATCTTCGACAGATTTCAAAAGGGTATTCGTCAGATCGAAGAAGCAAGTCCGTCTCCGATTATCATACGAAGCATGATCGTCCGGTTCCATGGCCTAATTCAGCCATACCCGAGTTGGCTTTTCGTGTTTTCCATTTCCGAGAACTTAGCAAATTGACAATGTGTTCATACTTTCTTCATTTCTTGCACAAACAACAAAAGTCATGGAATCTCACGAGAGATTCATGAAAATCCAATCCAAATCCCTGCACTACTGATATATATATATATACATTCAATCCAACTTGAACAGCAATGAGCTTTCAAGTTCCAAGAGAAAAAAAAAACAGATCTGGTCCTTTTTGTTTCCTCACAGAGAGGTATGAGCAAATGGCTGGAGAACACGCTTACTTAGGTATAACGAGTCTCTCTCTGCCCGGCCGATGCCATCAGAAGTGCCACCGCAACCGAGAACATAACCAGCATACTCACCAGCAGAGCATATGTTCTTGGTGATGATCTTTTATACTCTCCAAACAGAAAGATTCCCCAGAATGTTCCCACCAGAGGAAGCGCCTTTTCAACATATGATGGAACATAGCAAGTAAGTGTTTCGAGTTTAAGATTTCAGACACCAAGATTAAGCCAGTTTTCAGAACACATCTTATGCTCGGACCAGTGGCCGAAGTAAAGGAACATACTTTACAGTTACTGCTATGGATCCTGACCAGTAAGTTCAGTATTAACACTTCATCTGTTTCTTTTAGTTTCATCTGAGCAACTTGATTTCATATTATGTGTTTTCAGCATTTAAGTTCCTCAATGGTGAGAAGAATCGTGATTAAATCCAGTGTGAAGCTACAGAGACTGACCTGAACAGCATCTGCAGCGGCATATCCTGCAGCTTGACCACCCATGAACTGGAGGCCATTGCCAACACCACAGAGCAATCCAGCCAGAAAAGCCCAGCCTCTCCCATTCCAGTCGTTCAGGTAAGCAGAAAGGGATGATCTCGGTGAATCCAGCACGGGTTGATACAAGAAGCTGACATTGAGAGCAATCGCGATAAAAAAGGAAGACACCGAGAAGTAGAAGAAGGTGGTGTAGACAATTAGCTTTGGAACGCCTTGTTTCAGAGTGTGCCACTGATCATTCGTGGCTAAGTTGAACAGCGGCGAGAAAAGAGAGAGACAAAGGCCTGCAGAGAAGGTTATTCCCAGTCCCACCACCATGCTCTTCCCAAATACCTGAATATAGAGAATGCATGGACTAATGAATCTGTCCAGACCCAGCTACAATATGAGAGAGAGAGAGAGAGAGAGAGAGAGAGAGAGAGAGAGAGATTTTACTTTGATTGCTCTAGTGTTTTCAAGTGCTATAAGAAAGGCAGCACTCCCTTCCTCTGCCATCTTCATGTCGTTTTCTTCTACAAAGGCAGATAATTCAGTGATCCTCATACACTAATAGAGAACTAAGCTAATAGAGTGTGACAAAAAAAATCACCTCCTGAAAGTTTCTCGCATTCCTCAGAAGAAGCATCTTTATAGTCGCCAGGGAAGCGGCCGAGTTTTGTGTCTATATCAGCTGCATTAGACGAGTGAACAGCAGAACCAAGACAAACAGCAATCAAGAAACAGCCAACACCCGGGAAAAGAATGTCGGCTCTGTTTATTCTACTGTCCAAGAAGTAGTTGACCGTTGTTCCTACAAGACAAGAAGCCATTCACAAAGCATTCACTGTCTGCCAACCTTAACTCCCGGATCTTTGTCACTAAATCATGCAGAAAGATAAACAGATCATCCAACCTATGACGACAGTGATGCTTGCAGCTATCACTTCTGTAACGGACAGACCAACTAGCGCTAAAGCATACTGAGATGCCAGGTTCCCGAGGCCGAGTGCCACCCCACCAGCCATTGCAAACAACACCGAGGGCCAATTATCACTAATCTGTGACAGCACAAGAGATGAAACCATGACATATAACAAACGAAGTGCATCCATAACATAACATCATGATGAAAAATTCTCACCTGAGCGAGTTGGGTGACGAAATTCGGCCTGCTTCCACCCATCTGACCGAACGAAAAGGCTATAACGGTGGCAGCCAATAAGTTTGTGATCGAGTAATCGAGATAAGTATGCTGTGGAAGGCGGCCTCGTCGTTCGAGAAGAACCATAAGAGCAGGCCAAGTGCCTAAGCAAAGCAGTGATAGCAACATACATGCTATTGCACCTGCTTTGCTCTCCACCATATATGTTCCCAACCCATCTGCTGCTAATGAATTCAGTCCTGGAATATCCTGAAGCAAACGTTTCCTTTGGAATTAATCACCGATTCAGACAAGTAAAAACCCCATTTTTATCTCTAATTTCATCTTATATCCCAGATTCTATCCGTGGTTAATCGTTAAAACCCGCTTCTTGATATTGAATTCATCGTTAACAGCGACGATGATGCCGGGTTTGAGCCCAGGTCAAAAGAGGATAGAGCAGAAAAGTTACAGGGACCATTCCTTCAAAAGACAGAAGAAAAGAAATTGCAGAATCAAAGAAAGCGATCGACTTTCTCATCTAAAGTTCGTAAAGTAATGAACTTTGGAATCAGCAAGAGAATCGATCGACGATGAAACGGAGTTGGGGTCAATCGGAATCAGATTCTTCCCCACTACAAGTAGAATCTGATTCAAAATTTGAAAAAGGGAAAAAGAAAATGCCCAAGCGAACCTACGAATTAACTGAAGTAGAAATTTGAAAACCCATCCCGAAATAGTCAGAAAAACTTCAGGACCCAAATGATGGCTTACCATTTCAGAAGAGGCAGAGAGGTAATGGGAACAATTGGTGAGGGAAAGATCGACCAGCAGCTTGCTTGTAATGATCGAGGAAGAACCGGAGAAAGACGGAAGATTTTGCAACATAGATGTTTCTCCGACATTATATGACCCATTCTTGCGTCATAAGCCGAGACTCATCGGCCACACGCAATCGCCAAATCAAATCCACATGTAACGTCACTCTCTTTTTGCGTATTATATTTGGATTTTTAATGTTAAATAAAAAAAGGAGAAAGCTTCCAAATTTCTGAGAAATTTTAAACGCCGTAACGTATCACAGTCTCAGCAAGTGTTCATCTCTTCTGATAAGGGAGTCATTGTTAAAGGATCCACCTTTCGTTTCATATATATGCCTAAAGAGGTTGGGTTTTGATTATTTATGTAAAAATCCCACTTATAATCATCAAAATAACGCAAACAATATGAAAGAAAAGAATCTCATTTTCAGGATGTACACAATGAAAAAAGTGCTTCGATTGAGTTTTTGTTCTACAGCCCGCAAATCCTAGAGAGAGAGAGAGAGAGAGAGAGGCAAAGAAGGGAATCCAATTCCCAGAGAGACAGACGGCCATGGCCGTTGCCTAAAACCCACGTGGCAAAACATCAGCCGTCAGATCAAACGTAAGGATCCGGCTGAGATCACCCATCTAGACCACCCGTATCAGCAGAGCCACGGTTAGCAAGAGGGCATTGATGATGATGATAGTTGTTTTGGCAGAGAGTGATTCTCCGGCGCTCTGATCACCAAAGCCGCCGCTTCCTGTGGGGCCCAGAGTGGTGCCCGGAAACACAGAGGACGAGGACGAGGATGGAGTTCCAGTGGTCGGAGTTCCAATTGTAGGAGTTCCGGTTGTGGGCATGCCGGTGGTCGGAGTCCCCATTGTCGGAGTTCCCATGGTCGGAGTTCCGGTGGTGGGTGTTCCGGTGGTTGGAGTTCCGGTGGTCGGAGTTCCCGTGGTGGGAGTCACAGTGGTTGGAGTTCCGGTTGAACTGTAAGAGCAACAAGTAAAAACATCAATCAGTAATAATCAAACAATCCACGGGGGAAATTTCTGATATCTTTGATCATTTGACAGATAATATTTTGATGCTTTTTGAACATGGGATGGCGACCAATAATGCCCACTTTGGGTTTGTTTTCACGCAGCGTATTCAATTTCAAGCCCTTTTGCAAAAGGCAGAATGAACAGAATGATAAATAGTTAGAAAGATTTAATGATTGATGTCAATTGTCTGGTCTGAAATCACAATCATGGTCCCAAAGACACCGCATTAGATTAACCCATGAGTTGAAAAATCAGACGCAAATCTACCCAGAAAACCACACATTCAGATCGGAGAGCTCAAGAACAAAACCTAATATATGCAAAAGAATAGCTTAAAGAGGCTAATCTAAAAGCAAAGATCTGAAATAACATACCCGGAACCAGATAAACACGTTGAACCAGCTGCAAGATCAACATAATACACAGGTAAAATCAGCAACAAAATCAAACAAAGCTGATCCAAAAGATCTGGGCTTTTAAGAGAAAAAGGGATCTTTCTGGGTTTTTTTAGAAGATTTACTTGAAGGAGGAGAGTTGGTGAGAACGGCGGCGCCGCTAAAGTCACAGGTGGCACCGGTCGAGGCTTTGCGCTGATAGTAACTGTTGACGGCGACGTCGCAGTGGCTCTTGACGGTGTTTGGCTGAAAACACTGACCGTTCTGTTGGATCTGAGTACAGTCTGCTCCTGCTCCGCAAGCATAGTCCATGGCCTTCTGAAGAACTGCTTCGCCTACGCCGTCTTTGCACACGCAGTACGCCGCCTCTGTCGTGTCGGAAACAGATGTTAGATTCATGGGTTCAGATCAAAATCCGAGATTATTGAACAAGGTTCGAGATTTTGTTAGTGGAAATGGTATAAAGTCGAGTTCTTTAAGCTGAGATCACAGAGAAAAGGGTTGATTTTTTTTTTTCTGGGTAAAGAGATTTCTTTTATTTTTCTCATCTGCCATTCTTTTTTTATCCCAGACCACGGAGATTTCTGTGTTAGGGTTCGAGTGATTCGAGCACTGAAAGCTTCAACCTTTATCACAACCAAAGATGTGAGAGACAAAGATCCAAATTTTTTTCAAGAATAAAATAATCCATAATGGGAAAAAAAGGAGGCTTCAAAGAGAAAACCCATAACAAAACTAGCAGAATATAAGTATGAATCAGAGTAAAAACGACAAGAACATCCATGGCTGTTCTTCCATATGAGAGAGGGAAGAAAAACTCAGAACCATTTGCTTCTAAATCAAGGACAAGGCAACAAAAGCATTTCAATAAGTTCAGGAAGAAGAAGAAGAGAGAGAGAGAGAGAGAGAGAGAAGCAGCTTACTTGAATAGGAAATCATGGAGAAGATGAGAAACAAAGGGAGCAAAACCGCCATTGTTGATGCAATCTCAGTCTGGACACTCAGTGAAACAGAGGTTTTTTTTTTCTTTTCTCCGATGAGAGAGATGATTCCAGGAAGAAGCTGAGATCGAAGTATTGGCCCAAAAGACGGAATCCGATGTGAGGAGAGAGAGAGAGAGAGAGAGGCACTGTGAAGGGTGCAGATATTATAGAGGATGATGATAGGCGTGTCTCTCTATTTCTGTATTTATTTTTTCCGTACTTTCTTAACGAGTGCCCTTTTTTTAAAGTATGATTTTATATTTAAATATCATATACATTATGTGTGAATGTAATATAATTATGTGCATCTTAAGGCACATACATACTCTTTTTCTTGACCCGTTCACATATAAAATATATATACATATATATAAGTATTTACATGTATAAATACATAAAATAGTTGTATTTAATAATTTTTTCTGATCCGTTCATGTTTGGTGGCATATTAGTACGAGTTAACAATGGTAAAAGTAGAGAAACATGTAAAAATGTTACCTTCAAAATGTATTGGACTGATGAACTATGTGAATATTTATGTTACAAGGATATATTGGTCAGCTCATAAAATTACATACATAAAAAATTTGTATGTAAGAATATGAGAATGTAACTAATCGTACATGTATTCCATACTGAGAGATTGGGGGTTCGACTCCACCCGTTCATCTGTCATCTATCAGTTATAGTTGATTCATCTCTCATACGTGTGTTGCAGGCTCGTACGTATGGGTTTAAGTTTACTCGTTTCTATGTATCCGAAAGGTACATACTGCGATCCATGTGTTAACGAGTCGTTGTGAGGCCATCGCTGTAATCGGGGGTCAGCGAGTTCGAACGACTGCAATTGGGGTCGGATTTTCCAATGTATAAAAAAATGTAGACATGGGCGTTTTCATATTCAATTTAAAAATTATTATATTCGATTTTTTCGATTTTATAAAAATAAATATCAATAGATTATTATTCTATTCAGTTTGATTCATTGGAATCGGTTCAATTTTATTTCTGTTAAAAAAAATCAATTTTCTTAAAAAAATTATCGATTTGTTCAGTTTTTTAAAATTCTGTTCCGGTTGGGTTCGATTCTAAAAATTCGATTTTTAAGAAAAATTAACGTTCAAATTAAGGCATGTGCGGTCTCTAGCTTTTGTTTAAATTATGACACGTGTTATTGTAACAGTGGACCCACACGATGTGTTTTTTTGTGGGCATTCTTGAAAGTGGAGCTGTTTGTGGTAAGTCGGTGGACAACTTTTCATGACACCCATTTTTTTATTTTTTAAATGCGCTGTTATAAAATATTTGAACGTTGGGCTTTGATCTGTTTATTTTTCGATCCAATATTTTTTTACATAACGGTAAAAAAAACAGTACTGTTTGTTGTTTTTTTTGTCCATTTCTGTCTCTGTGTTCTTTAATGAATTCGGTTTATATCTCAATTGAAATATATAGAAGCATTTAATAGTTATAGTACCTAAATGTTTTTATCTATTATTACAATATATAAAAAGAATAGACGTTTTGGTCTTATAACTGAATCGAATCGAAAAAAATATGATACCATCCTTGAAACGAATCATCAAATATTTTTGACGGCGAATTTTTAAAAAATTTAAAAATAAAAAATTGTTAAAAAAAATTAATATTTGAATATAAATCAAATCGATCCGAATATAAAATAATAAATGATTGATACATATTTTTATAAAACCGAATTTAAAGAATTGAATCAAATAATTTTCAAAAGTTTTTTTCCGATGAGGTGAGTAATTGAGATGGGGAGAGAATATTGGTCATGAAAAAAAAAAAAGGCAATCAATAAGCTTTTTTATTAACTAATGGAACCACATTTTGTGATTGTGATTTGTGACATCATGTGATTCTCTGTTTTTACATTGATGGGCCTCCTTTATTTAATGGGCCTTGTTTTATCATAATTATGCTCTCTCTTTTTTTTTTTAGAAGCTTTTATGGACAAAATTAAATTTTCTAATTCCTTTTTTTTTCTAAAAAAATATTTTTCTCTATAATACCTATTTGGATCTGGGCCGGAAATTAAGTAACTGGTCTCGCCGGATTTGCAAAAACGCTAAATATTGTTAATGGGCCGACTTGTCCGTTAATGGGCCCAAAATTTTGCCTAATTTACGAGGATCGGTAAAATCGCCAAAATGCCACTGTTTTATCCGATAATTTCAAAAATGCCACAGTATCTATGTGCGGGCTATCGTCTTCGCGGAGGCCGAATTTTTTAGACCCACAGCTACGCTAGAAAACCCTAAACCCTCTGGAACTCACTGAGAGATCGCTCATCAATGGCGACTCATCTCTTGATCCGATCCCGGATATCGCTTCTCAAATCTCTAAATCCCAATCATGGCGCTAATCTGCCTATCAGGTCAATCTCCACAACCATGTCTCTCTCGCAGGAGCCCCAGCTCGCCGCCGAGTCGGCTGAACCCGACGTGTCTCCGCCTTCGCGGAATCCGACGCCACTACCGCCGAATCCAGCCACCGGAAGCCCCCTCTACCAGGAGAACTGGAGGAGCCCGATCCCGGGTTCTTCGTCGACGTCCCAGGCTCTGATCCCCTTGGGATTCCTAAGCCAGAGCCCCGCTTCTCGCATCAGATCTCTCTCCGAGACCCTTGACTTGAACTCGCTGCTGAATTTGTTCGCCGATTGGACCGCGACGCAACGGTGGTCCGACATGAAGCAGCTTTTCGAGTCCTGGATTCGGACGCTCGACAAGAGCGGGAGGCTGAATAAGCCCGATGCGAACCTTTACAATCAGTACCTCAGGGCTAATTTGATGATGGGTGCTTCGGCTGGTGACTTGCTTGATTTGGTCTCGCAAATGGCGGATTTTGCGATGACACCCAACACGGCTTCATACAATCTGGTATTGAAGGCTATGCACCAGGCCCGAGAGACCGAAGCTGCTCAGAAGCTGCTCGAACGGTTAGCTTGACAACACACTTTCCCCTTACATATATTGCTCGAGGATACTTTTGTCGGCATGAACTTCCTTATCTGACTTACCTTACATTCGTGATTCTGTTTTATCAGTATGTTAATGTATTCAAATGAAAAACCCTTTTGTGCACGTAAAGATAGTCTTACTTGCCCACTGTCAAGTGTCAAGAAAATTTCTTGGAGCTCGTGGAGAAGATTTGAGGAATACCTTTCTTGCAGTAGAATAGACGGCATTATAATCTCATAAGGTTGTTGTAGATGTTTACTTTGCGGTCTTTTAATAGGGGGACTTGCGATGTATCATGGCTTAATGTGTTATGATCAGGATGCTGCTCACTGGAAAGGAATCCTCGCCAGATGATGAATCTTATGACTTGGTTGTTGGAATGCTGTTTTGGACAGACCAGATTGATTCTGCCTTGAAATATATGGACATGGCGCTAAAGTCTGGTTATATGTTGTCCATGGCGGTGTTTGGTGAATGCGTTCGTAGTTGTGTAGCCAAAAGCAGGACAGATACACTGGTGTCCATCATTGAGAAATGCAAGGTAAGAAAAAACAGATTTATTGGATTTTGGGTATATATTGTAAGCTTCTTCTCTCGTTTATTTGTCATTCTTTTTTTTTTGGTTCTCTCAGGCTATTGATCAGAACAAGTCCTTATGCCCTAACTGGACTCTTTGCAATTATATGGCTGAAGTTGCAATGCAAGAAGATAACAGCAAATTGGCATTTTATGCGTTAGAATTTATGTTCAAGTGGATCACTAGGGGTGAATTGTTTAGACCTTCAGTTTTGCTTTCTGTTGATGAAGGATTGGTTGTATCATCGCTTGCAACTGCTGCTAGGACTTGCAGTTCGACTTTGTTAGATGCATCATGGACTATTTTGCAACGTTCACTGCGTGATAAAAAAACTCCAAACCCGCAAACCTACCTTGCGAAGCTCAATGCTTATGCTTCCATGGGAAATCTACAGAAAGCATTCTCTACACTTAAAGACTTCGAGTCTGCATATGGGAATTCTGACCAAGAACTTGTAGGGGAAATTTTTTCGCCTTTTACGTCTTTACACCCATTGGTCATGGCCTGTTCTAAGAGAGGTTTTGAGACTTTGGATGCGGTATGTCTCTTACATCTTGATGCCACACATATCCTCATTTTCTTCCATGACAGGCATTTGCATTATAACTAACATTTTGTTGACCTAAAACCGGAAAACTCTGGCAATTGATAGTTATGGTTGTTGACTGTTTAAAAAAAAGTAACTTTACTGAAACATAACATCATGGTCTAGTGTTTATGTATACTGGAATGAACATAAACACATGTGACATTTAGCTTTTGCATATGTGACATTTAGCTTACCTGAACTTGCCAATGTTACACAGGTGTACTTTCAGTTAGAGAATCTGAGTCAAGCAGATCCGCCTTACAAGTCTGTTGCTGCTTTGAACTGTATAATTCTCGGCTGTGCAAACACATGGGATCTAGATCGTGCTTATCAGACGTTCGAGGCAATAAGTGGTTCTTTTGGATTGACACCCAATATCCATTCCTACAATGCTTTACTCTGTGCCTTTGGCAAACTCAAGAAGGTTTTCCCCATTTTATACGCACATAGATTGTCTTTATGTGTTTTATGTGCGTGGAACTGTTTTATCTCATCAACTTTGACTATCTATGTGTTTGCAGACTCTCGAGGCGACAAGGGTTTTTGAGCATCTTGTTAGCATAGGTGTAAAACCCGATGCTCGGACTTACTCATTACTGGTGGATGCTCATCTCGTCAACCGTGATCCCAAATCAGCTCTGTCTGCCATTGATGAAATGGTAAAAACATGACTGAAAACAATGGCTAACAACATGACAAACACATTCATGAGAAAGAAAAACTTGTCTTTCCGATCTGCAGGTGAATGCTGGATTTGAACCCTCAAAGGAAACACTGAAAAAGGTAAGAAGGCGATGCACCCGAGAGATGGACTATGAAACAGACGATCGAGTGGAGACTTTAGCCAAGAAGTTCCAGATTCGGATGGGAACCGAGAATCGCAGGAACATGCTGTTCAACCTCGATTACTCCACGAGCTTCGAGTCATAAAACAGATTCCGAAAATATGGGTTAGTAAACCCTAACTCCTTTCAGAGGAACTATTGTGATAAACAAGTCTCATTGCCCTATTCTTGCAGTTTCTGGTGCGGAATGAGAAGCTGAATTCACATCACAGTTCACAGAGTCTCCGAGCTCAGAGTTTTTCGCCGCTGTAAATTAATAACCTTTTCCGAGTTTTGGATAATTTTTGTTGTATTGGAATCTCCTTATTTCCGAGTTGCATCTCATAGGATTTAGTGTGGCCTCACGTTTTGTCCGGAAGATTTCTCGGGCAACGGCCAATAAATGTCGTTCACTTTAGTCCCTGTCCTGTCGGAGACTCCTTTAGTCCCTTAGTTCATGTAATTTGGAATTTCTGATTTTGATCTGATTCACTGATTCCGAAGTTGACAGAAAATGTGATGTGGGTTCATCCAGATTTCCGATTTTCGTATGATTCGCCGTCGAAAGGATGGGACTTTTGGTGAAACGGTGATCAAAGTCTGAGACTTTATGATGTTTGGTTGGTCTGAATCCGATCAAAGCATTTTACAATTTTCTGATAACCCAAACTACAAAGGCCCTTTGGCTCAGCCCATTATTCCACAGAAGCTTATAAATCTGAAAAGACCGTCCCCTGAGGTTGCTTGCTTCCATCTTTTTTTTTTTGGATTTTGAACACGAAACCCTAGTTCGAATCGTCGGGGAGAAATCCGATTTCTCGAGGAATTTTCAGGGCTTCGGTGGGGGGAAGAAAGGGATCGAAATGGGAGGGAAGACGGAAGATGGCAGTGGAAGCAAGGACAAAGATAAAGACAAGGACGAGGAGCAAGACGGCTTGTCCGTGCACTCTCCCTGCAAAGCTTTGCCCTCCTCTGATTCCTCCCTCACTAAGGTCTCTCTCTCTCCCTCTCTCTCTCTCTCTCGTGGTGTTAGTTTTGTCGGAGATTTTGATGGTTCGTCTTCTCGGACGTGTTTCGTAGGAGCAATCACAGGTTGAGTTGGAGCTAAGGTTGTTAGAAGCTCTTGAAATCTACCCTCCCGGAAAACTGCGAGGCAAGCTTTTCTTTCGATTTAATCACAGAAGTTAGTGAAATTGTTCTTGCAATCGAAGAACTGAGATTCTGTACAAGGAAAAATATCTAAGAATTCCGTAGTTTATGCTTGCGTGAAAACCAAGATATTGATTTCTATCTTTGTTTCTCTCCCGAATTGATCAGAAAGCTTCAACCTTAGCCGTTTTTTCTGGTTATTGATTAGCTCTGGATTCCTTTCTTAGTAATCAAAGCTTGTGTCTTTGTCCGGTTTCAGGCATACATCGTCACTTTGTTCTTTACGGCCTGATGGAATATCTCCGCAGAAGGTTTGTCCGAAACTCTCTGAGTTAGCTCCATGGCCTTGAATCTTGATCCAATGTGGTCTGGTTTTGATAAACTGTTCTTGTCCACAGCTTTGACAGACAGTTTACAGCCGATGAGGTTCTTCAGCTGTTGGATCGTTTCTACAACTTAGAGATGCTGGTGAGTTGTAATACATGGATAGAACTTTTATACGTGGTTTCGTCAAAAGGGTCATACAGTTTCGGCTTTCTAAGCTATGAAAATCACTCGTATATGAGCTAGCTATATCGTCTCGGGTTATATTACCTCTCATCGGTCGGTTTAAAGTTTGATTTGTGTTTTACGCCATGATCTTGGAATTTTCAGAAACCGGACGAGGATGACATGGACATTCTGAATCAGGAGGAAGATTTCAGCTTGCCGGAGAGTTACTTTGTCAAGGAAGAACAGTGACACAATGGAAAAGGATTTTAGTTTTTTTTTTTTTGGAGAAAAGAGAAGTTTTTTTTTTGTGGGTTTGTTGTTCCCTCTGTATATGTTAGACTTAGAAGAAGGAAGGAGATGAAGGTAGCAAAAAAAACTTTGAAGGGTTAAAATGTGTATATGCAGTTTTAATGTCTATAAAAAACATGAGCTGAAATGCACTGAGAGAGATCCCTTCTCTTTAAGCAGTTTTCATGTTGAATTTTCTCTGTTTGGTTTTGACTGTGTTGGCTTGGAATCTAACAGAGAGTATCATATATGTATACACATATATGTATATATAAGAGGATTATATGAATAGGGAATCTAAAATTTGTAAAGGCTTTTCATATCTAATGAAATTGATTGTATAGCCAATATAAATTGGTTAATTTCATAAATGCTAGTTATTAAAATTCGGTTTCACATGTTCTTGTCTAGAGCCACTTTGTTAAAATTGAGCCCATTCAAATGAGTTAGAATATTTATTTGATTAATATCTAAATCTGCACAAGGAGAAAGTTCTTGATTAAATTGTAAGATTCACACTGAAACATTAAAGCAAGAAAGATCAATCAATATATATATATGTATATCATATTTAAGCAGCCGATTATCATAGCCAAAGTCCATGAAAATAAAGCATAAAAGAATGGAAAACAAAAGGAGAGGAAAACAGAAGCCAAACACAGAATTGAAACGGTGGCCCGAGTGTAAATAGAGGCATGACAACAACAAAAAAAAATTGTAAGTTTAATCCCAATCTTGCTGATAAACCAAGCTAAGGAATCAAGAAAATGGCCTCTGTCTTCATCTGGGTTTAACTTAAAACTCCATGAAATTTCCAGCAAACGTCGATTCAATGCTGCACAAACCCAGAAAAAAAAAACATAGAGGTTAAAACTTTCAATCAGACAAAAAGTGAAAAGGATGAAACTTTCATACTCGATAGTCAATTTCAATGGATATTTACATCGGCTGCTTCTGCAGGCTTCTGTTCTTGTTTTGACTCTTCAGCCTTGATGTTCTCATCGCCTAAACAAAAAGATAAAACATTTTTTTTTAGTTTGCAAGATATTTCGAAGATTCAGAATGAGTTGTCTTTCTTTTTTTTTTTTTCTCTTTTTTGGTGATTTTCAGACAATGATCACCTCCGTCTTCGGGCAGATCTGAAGTCCAGAGAGTGAGGTTGTCTCTCAGAAGCTGCATTATCAATGTACTGTCCTTGTACGACTCCTCGCTCAGAGTGTCCAACTCAGCAATGGCCTCGTCGAATGCTTGCTTCGCCAAATGGCAAGCTCTGCAGAGAGATTTCACGAGGCGTAAAAACACAAAAGAAAAAACGAGCTTTGTCTGCATGTTGGATCGAGAATCTCTATGTATATTAGCAGTCGAACCTTTCGGGGGAATTCATGATCTCGTAGTAGAACACAGAGAAGTTGAGGGCGAGGCCGAGACGGATCGGGTGGGTGGAAGGAAGCTCTGTGCTTGCAGCTTGAGTTGCAGCCTGTCCCCGAAACCGAACAAACATTACTATACCGAAATCCGACCAATCAGTCTCTCATGTCTCCATTGTCTAAGAGAGAGGCTTTTCCATTGACATACCTCGTAGCCTTTCAGAGACTGCTCGGCTGCTTCTTTCCTCTCTGCCTCGGTCTTGAACTCTGCCAGGTACCGACAGTAATCTCCTTTCCTGGAAAATCACATCAGCAAGAATCATACAAATGATTCATAAAGTTAAGCTATTGGCTAAGATGTGAGTCTTGATGCAGTTTCTAGTTGCAGAACAAATGTATTCAAAGACTTATCGTAAAAAAACTGTCACGGGTTTTCTCTTAAAGGCGTAAAACAGCGATCAGAAACACTAGAAACCGTCACTCGACAAGATTTCAGACCAGACGGGCATAAAGTGTCGCTCACATCTTGTAGTAGAAGACGGTGGCTTCGCCGGAGGAGGCGTGAGGGACGAGATGCTGATCGATGATGCCGAGGATGTCCTGACAGATCTTGGAGAGCTCGTCCTCCACTTTCTGACGATACCCTTTTATGATCTTGACGTTTGATTCGTTTCCCTTCGACTCTTCTTTCTGCTCGATCGATGACATTATCCTCCACGACGCGCGTCTTGCTCAGATCACCTTCTTGGACCCTACACACAACAGGATCCTCTTCGTCTTGCTCCGATCACGTTCTTGTACCCTACAGACAACAGGTTCCTCTCCTCCACCGTCATCTCGCTGTTCAGCCGAGCCACTTTCTTCATCGTCTCCACCATCTCTACATCGATTTACAGACAAGTAATGATTCGTAAGCAAGATCTGGACTTTAACAGAAAAGGGAAAATTTTTCATTTGAGATTATACAGAAAGAGATTCGGATAAGAGAGGTTACCGTCGTAACGCTCGGCCTGTTCGGAGAGCTTGGCCATGTAAACGAAGGTCTCTCTGTCTTTGTCGGAACCTGACATCTTCTCCGACAGATAAAAAAACTCACAAACTCAGAGGAAACAAACAAACAAAAAACGCTGAGATTTCTTCTTCTTCTTCCTTGGCCTCTCTGTAAGAATAATGTAACGATTCGGGAGAGATAAGAAGAAGGGGAAGGAACAAATATAGAAAGAGGTGAGGAGATGGTAGCGAATAGCGGAAGGAAGACCGAATCTTCGCTCGACCGTTAGATCTGTAGCTCTCTGTTGTGTTGTCCCCTTGATTCCCGCGCTTTCTTCGCTGAAGTTAATTACCTGTCTGTTGGTCTTTAATTGTCCAATACTGCAAAATGGGGATGTAGCTCAAATGGTAGAGCGCTCGCTTTGCATGCGAGAGGTACAGGGTTCGATCCCCTGCATCTCCACCACTTTTTTTTTTGACATTTTTTCATTAAAAAAAAAAACTGATTGCAAGAACACGGACGGTTTAATAACAAATCCAGGATTTGGGTTTTGCTCATATTACACAGTTCATGTTTTTCCTTCAGGCACTTGTGGGTCTGCAGTCTCTTAATCCACTTGCTAGTGCTTCCTCATCTAGGTTGTGTCCTGTACAAACCGAACAGAACCACATGAACAACTAAACACAGAGAGCTCCAGAGTATTGGGAATGGATAATTTCAACACGAGGCAAAGGACACGTGACCTATAAATACTATTTTGCTGGTTTGATCCTCTCCCTCGTTCCATTTTCGAGCCGGAACTATCTCGTATATCTCTCTTACAGCCTGTGAGACACTCAAGAACACGGAACCGGTTGTGAATATGGATATCCAAACCTAACCCCAGTATTTCATTTTTTGGTAGTGAATCAAAATTAGTAGTTACATACCTGCAAAGTATGCAACTGGCCTGAGTTCTGAATGCTTAGCACCCCCTTGCAGCGGTACACATCCATCCCTTGCTTTTTGTCCCAAAGAATCTCCTCTAGCCATAAACGCACCTGCGAAAATAAATTGAAGCATTTATGAAAGAACATTATACAGCTTGTTCAAGAATGTGCATTACATCTGTGCTTTGCTACCTTATCGAGGTCTACAGCCAGTGGCTCACAGATGCATATGGTCCTCACTCTACTGTCATGAAGGTCTCTTGTAGACAATGATTTATTTTCTTCTAATAAAGATTCAAGGCGGCTAACGTGCTGAAGACAGAAGTGAAGGAAAAGAAAAGTGGGTTATTACATAATAGAGCATAAACAATCGTTGAGAGAGAGTATGTAACCGGGCGGTCACGAGAAGTTTCTGAGACTAACAGTTGAATCATATGCCTGGCAGTTTAATATGTTGGACAAATCAACTTGGCATCTGACAGAGCGGATGACATTTGCCAGTGCATTAATCGTACGGATTTCTTTCACCAGTTCATCAGATTCCTCTTGAGAAGCCAAGTCAACCTTGTTAAGAACTATTGTGTCCTGCAAAATGAATTTACAAAACTCACCACGGCTAGAAAAGTAAGGCAGGTGACAGAAAGAGGCGAAAAGCAATAAGTCAGGACTTCTTAATGGTTATGTTAAGTGGGGTGATTACCGCAAATGCTATTTGATGAAAAGCTTCGGGAAATGATGATGAGTCACGACGCTCATTGAGCTGAAACCGGAGGTTCTTTGCATCCACAACCTGTTCAACCAGCTAACTAAGTAAAGGGTATCTGGAAAAAGATTGTGGAGATTCAGAAGGCGATATATAGAACCCTAATCACTGAAACAGGAAAGACGAATCCAGGAAAAATCTTGGGACATATATGTACCAAAGAGACAACTAGCAAAAGAAAAAGATCATTGGTTATAAAGGGGTTGCAGAAGTTAGAGCGACACAAACACGGCAGGACACCATTGTTAATCTGTTACGATTTCATCTTTGTGCGAAAGAAGATGAAGCATATAAAAGAATTATTCGATCAAATTGGTGCTTGAACCAGAAAAGCAGCATAAAGCATTGCAGTTTAATACTCACAGTAACAATGCAATCGAGCTTGACTTCGGATTCTAACTGATCATCCAACCAAAGAACAGAGGCCAGTGGAGCAGGATTTGCCAAACCGGTAGTCTCCAGCAATATATGATCAATTCTAGCACAACAAAGCAGAAACAGAACATCAAAAACACTAAGTTAACATACGTATAAGACAACCAAAACTTAGAGCTTTTCAGATGATGATCAACACGCACCTCTCACCAATCCAAAATCCCATAAATTTAAACGAAATTCAACCATAATAAGTAGATCAGATGAAAATTTTCAGAGTCAAACTCGTTTAAGATCGAAAACGATGGAGAAAGACCTGTCTTTTCTCTGCACAAGCTGCTCAAGAGCTTGAACGAGACTGTGCTTAACAGTGCAACAAACACAACCATTAGCGAGCTCGACCCATTCTTCGACAAGGGCACCTCCTTCTCCTTCGTTTATCATTGCCCTCTCCACTCCTATCTCCTCCCCAAACTCATTCAATATCACCGCGATTCTCTTCCCGTGATTCCCGTTCAGAATATAATTCACAAGCTGTGAACATCAATCAGACAACAGCGTAACCAATCACGGACCAAAACCCAGAGCATTGATCAGCGGAAAGAGCAGAATCTCATCTGAAGAATTAGGGATTCTACGTTCCCTTACGGTGGATTTTCCGGCGCCGAGATAGCCGGTGACGATGGTGACACCCACGGAAACGGCGTCTGTTCGTTCTTGTTCCAGAGGAGTCTGTCCGTACGAAAAGTCCGGTTCAATTCGGACAGCGATGGGAGGTTCTTCTTCGTCCGCCATTTCCACACTCTCGCTTCCTTCGCCGCCGTCGCCACTCGCCAGTTTTTGCCGACGCGCGCAACCTTAAAGAGTCTTGGACGCAATCAAAACCCTCTGAGGGAAAAGGAAGGTCAGATGCTTTTTTAAATACGCAATTGTGACCCATATTTCATCCGTATTTTCAATTATGTACCCTACATTTTTAATTTTACAACTCGAGTCCCTCCGTAATTGACGGTTTTCCAGTTTCAAATCAGAAACATATTCAATGGTTAAAAAGTTACTACTTAATGTGGTACGTAGTCCAATGACTAAATGATTAATAATATTTATATTAAAAAAATTCTTGAATTGATAAAAAAAAGAAGTTATATGTTAGTCTTGTGTGGAACAATAAAGATTGAAAAGATTCTCTGTTTTTTTTATAAAAAAAATAGTGAGTCGTCATTTATCTCTTCGTTTTGCCATTATATTATATATCGAAGAACAAAAAAAAAATACACTTGTTCTGCTAAAATCTCACAATACCAATGAAAATGCGCCTTAATTATTATATTATGGAGGACCCACTTGGTCAATAGTGTGACCCACAACTTGTAAAAAAAAAATTGTTTTCTTTGTAAATTTTATATAATTTTATGTAAAATTATTATACTGACCCCAATGCCCATATATATATATATAATCAGAATCCATAGGGAACACCACCACTAACATCACACGATCCACCAATACTACTTCTATATATGAATACTCTCTCTCTCTCTCTCTCTCTCTCCAAAGACAGCGTGTGTGAATGTACATATATGTATAATCCAAGCGTATACGCAGAAAGAGAATATAGTGTATGGATTTCCTATAAAATACCCATTTCATGGGGCATTTCTTCACTCCATCGACATTTTCTTTCTCTATCTGTTTTGGCTTTCCCTGTGATATCCTATAAATAGTGTACTCATCCAAGCTTTTACTCGTTCTCCTCTCTCTCTCTCTCTCTCTCTCTCCGAAAACAGATAAACTGCACAAGAAGTTAATTGGAGGGCTTAAACCAAAAAAGTTAATTGGAGGGAGGGAGAGAGAGAGAGAGAGATGATGATGATGGTGAAGAAGAAGAAGCATAGTGGGAAAATAACATGGGTGATGGTAGTAATAACGGTTATGGTGGTTATTAAGACATGCATGTGTGCGGACATTGGCAGAGGCAGTTTCCCCGAGGGCTTTGTCTTTGGAACTGCTTCTTCTGCTTTCCAGGTCCCTTCTTCTTCCTCTCTTTTTTTTTATATATTTTCCTTTTTAATTATAAATATATTATAGTTCTCTTTTCTCTATATATTTCGCTTCTTCTTAGTGATTGATTACAAGATGAAGATTTTTCTTCCATTTTTTTTTTATGTATGTATGTATGTATGTATGTTATGTATGTATGTATGTATTCCACGAGCATAACCCGTGGATTCAGTTTCACCGAATTTCGTATTTACGAAATCGACCCCTCAGTTTTACGTTGTTCACGAATTTTACCTATTCCTTTTATCGATCTCAGTTCCAAAACCCAATCGAATCTTATGATCCAAAAGCCAAGAAATCCAAAAGCCAATTTTAATATCCCCCCCCCCCCCC